GGTAGAACGAACGTCGTATTGAACAGTATGCTGAGCGTATACGCAAATGCTGAGCTTGTGGCGAACGTCGTATTGAACAGTACGCTGAGCGTATACGCAAATGCTGAGCTTGTAGCGTGACCAACGCGTGACCAACGCTACAATACCACACCGACAAGCGCATTAAAGAACTTCACGAGTTCGTTCCAGATGCTGCTAAAAGGAATCAGTGAAGACTAGGCAGTCATCCATGACCTTGGAGAATTGCTCAATACCAGCGAATGCTGCGTCGGCCTGCTGGTTGAATTCCTCGCCAGCATAAATCAGACCTTGTGGGTTCCGCAGGTGCTGTTATCTTCCCCACTGTGTGATGAATGTGGTCAAGCTTCTGGACTCGTCATCCAAGGGACCTGCCAGTAGCCGTGGTGAGCAGTCAGCTTGGTAATATACTGAGCGTTACCAAGGTTGGAGACGACATCGCGAGGTGCGCGCATGGGATGCGTGGGCCGGGCGACTTGCTTGTAAAGCTTAGTGAAATCCACCATCATCCGGACTTCTGTAGTGCCTTTTCTGCTTTGACGATGGGGTGAGACCACTCCGTTGGCTCTGAGAGCGGTGCGATTATGCCATCTGCGACCATTTTGTCCAGCTGGAGCTTAACCTGGTCATGAAAGACGTAAGGTAACCAACACGCATTGTTCAACTTGAACGGCTGGGCATCAGGCGCGAGTTGGATGTGCATCGCCTGACCGTCCATGGGTTGGAGTGTGTCCTCTGCAAACACGTCAGGAAACTCGTCGAGGAGGTCCTGACGGATACACACAGGTGTATGGCTTCTGTGCTCTGCAGAACGAGATGTCCCTTGTGTCATTGAAGCGATCTGTGGCCAGTTAGGCAGCAAGAAACCTAACGCCTTTAGCAATGAGCGCGATAGCAATGCGCTACTGAGCTCGGCGTACACATGTAGACAAATGGTGTGCGTGACATCATGAGTGACAACCCTGGCGGGAACAGTTCCCAAGTTGGTCAATGGCTGACCGTTCACGGCGACAACATGGCTGGAATCGGGTTCCAGATCAACGACACTACCACCAAGTCTACGGAGATGACTAGCACCAATAGCATCAACACCCGAGCCAGTATCTGGCAACCACTCTAACGTGCACGACCGGTCATTGTCGTCAAGATGTGTTGACAACATCACTTTGTCACCAGCCTGCCCTGCGTGAATGGTGAAGCATGTGATGGTCTTGCGGCACATTGTCGCGAAGTGGTCCACACCCTTGCATTTACAGCACTCTTTGCCCTCGGCAGGACACATTGACTTGGTGTGCTGAGATTGTCTGCACTGCGGGCACTTCGCCGGCTTGTCGGCTGGAGGAGATTTTGGCTTACCCGCCAAAGCGGATTTGCGGCGTTGGTACGAGAACCTTTTCACGGCAATAACGGATGCAGGTACCATGTCGTCTCTGGTCTGCTGTGCGGCTTCCTCAGGCCTTTGCTGCGGTTTCCAGGGTGAGGGACGGAGATGCCAGGAGCTTATGGCGTGTGTCATCGTTGGCTATTCCAAGTACGATGTGGTCCCTCATCATGTTGTCCGTCACCTTGCAGAGGCTCTGGGGGCAAGTACTACACAACTGAGGTGTACATGTGCTACACAACTCCATGTCAGGAAAATCGAACTGCGCAAACAGTTCCTTTCAACGCTGTGAAGAATGGGTCAAACGACTCATTCCGCTGCTGCTTCCTGTTGTAAAAAGCAATCTGATCAAGGAGTGGGTTCCGCTGCCGTCGGATATACACTTTCACGGCTATGATGATCTCCGGAGCATCGGCATAGTGGGAGACGACAATCACATCTTCGAGCTTGAAACGCCAAATGCCCGCATCAAACGCCTGACGAAGAGCTGACACCCGAGTCTCATGACTTTGGCTAGTGAGCTGCTGAGACACAGCATAGTCGTTCCAAGCCTCCTCCCATGCCTTGAAATCGGCCATGGTTGCAGTGCTAAGCAACACTGGTCGCTCGACAGAAATTGGTTTCTGATTGTCAGATGTCGAGGTGCTGCGCGGTCCCTGGTTGTCGCGGGTTGCATTTTCAACCAGTATGGTGAGGCGAGTCTCGCGTGCCTCGGCCGCTTTCATCTGCTGCTGCATCAAGGCGAGCAGGGATGCAATTCCTGCACTGATCGGGGAAATTCCAGGTTCCGCCATCACGACAATTCTACAAATTCTACAACTACAAGAAACCTACGCTACACGATCGATCGTTTGAAAATAAAAGGCTACAGAATTCACGGACAACTACCGACTGTCACATATTCCGTACTCAGGTTACTAGTAGTTCACTGTGCCATGTTAGGTTTGGTAGACAAGAGACAAGTAGTGTATTGGTTGGAATACACGAAGTAGAAAAACTGACAAGATGCAATCTGTAAATGACAGAGAAAACTCTCAAAGAAGTGCGTGAGTGCGTACACAGTAGAGCTAAAGTTGTACTACATTACGTCATAACATAACACCAGTGTTCTACTATACGGCGGATGCAAGTTTTTGCGCTCCGCGGTCGAGTTTGTTTCACCGGTGTAGCTGCCTTCGGCAGGATCGCACCTACACTGATTTGTTCTAGTGTTGATGTATGACTCAATAATATGGCGACTAACGAAGATATGGACTTAGCTCTGCTGACATACGAGGAGCTGCTCACAGTTGCCCGAGCTACAGGACTGACCAACCCGGAGACAATGGGCCGACAAGACTTGGTTGTTGCATTTCGGAAGGAAGGACTAGGAATACGGAAGTCACCAGACCAAATGGTAAGCGACCTGCTCTCCACTTTCCAGCTGCTTAACGAGACTATAAAAGGTATGGCTTCAGATCATCGTGCATGAGGGCCGAACCCAGGCCATATTCACTGGCGTCGTTCTACAAATTGTATATGATCTTCTTGTTTAGGTCGAAGAATGCCAAACCTGGTGTGGTGGACAACATCTGCTGGATTGTCTTGAACTTGCATTGCTGCGTGTCAGACCACACAAATGACACGTCCTTCTGCAGCAGGTTCTGGAGTGGCTGCATGACATCGGTGAAGTTCGGAACGAAACGAGAGAGGTACTTCACCATGCCGATAAACCTTCATAGTTCAGTGAAGTTGGTTGGAGCTGCCTAGGCATTGATGGCCTTGACTTTCTCAGTGTCGACATCCAAACCATCCTTGTTGATGCGGTGTCCAAGGAAGCTGATTCTGGATATACCGGTTTCACTTGCGACTGTTGAGGCGGATTCCGATGCTATCACATCGCTGCAGGAACCTGGCTAAGTTGGCGTCGTGCTCAGCCTGATCTCGACCATGTATTACAATGTCGTCCGCGATAACGATGATGCCCTGGAGGTCTCCAAGCACATCTTGCAAATGCGTTTGAAATATCTCGGATGAGAAGTTGGCACCAAACGGTAATCGGAGGAAATGGTATCGACCAAAGCATGTTTGGACCGTCGTCAACAGGCTAGATTCCTCGAATAGCTAGACGTGCCAATAGCCTGATGCCAGGTCCGCCTTGCTAAACAACCTTGCTTCACTCAGCTCAGGCAGCTTGTCGTCGATAACCGGCAGGGTGTAGTGTTCGTGCTGTATGGCTTTATTTAGTTCCTTTGGGTTGATGCAGACTCGTAGGGCTCCAGACTTTTTCTTTGCCACGACTATCTGGCAGACCCAAGGTTTGGGCTGGTCTGCGGGCTGTATGACCTTGAGGTTTACGAGGTGGGTCAATTCCTCCTTAAAGCTTTGGGAGAACAGCTACAGGCACACGTCGGTTGGGCATAATAACAGGTTTGACCGTCTCGTCGCAGTTCAAAGTCTGCTTTCCAGGCAGGCTGCCAAGCTTGTTGCGCTGAAAATGTCTTTGTAGTCCTCAGTCCAATCCTTGAATAGCGCAACGTGGTCGAACTGGTCATCATTTACTATGATGAGGCCCATCCGCTCACATGTCTCCAGTTACAGTAGGGGAGTACATGTAGTGATCGCTGAAGATCACTAGCTCGACGTCATACTGCTTGTTGCAAGGATTCTTCAGGTTCTTTCGGCACGCACCCACGGGCTTGACATCAGCCTAGTCCCATGTCCTGAGCTTGCCACGGTATGCCTTTATTGCTGCTTGGCCAACATACGTCTGTGGTATCATATTCACAGAAGCTCCGGTGTCAAGTTGAAACACAACTTCTTGACCATCCACTAGCATTCTTGTCTTCACCTTCTTCTTCATACGGCTATGGAGCGCATCCAACCAATCATCATTATCACTGCTAGGCCATACACTTGGCGCGTGTGTTGGACCCGCTTGCCTTTCTGGCTGGTTGGGTGATACGAGGTCTTGGGTTTGCCCTGCTGACAGACTGACTGAAAATGATTCTGCTTCCCGCACTGCTTGCAGGTTTTGCCAAATGCAGGACATTTCCACGGTGGGTGACTGTGTCCACAGTACCTACAGCTCTTGGACGCCACGTGTCTGTCTGATCACCCTTGATGGAGAGGTGCTGTTACAACGACTTCTCGGATGCTTTACAGGCGTCGACTGCGCGTTGCAGTGTTAGACCAGGCTCTTTCAGTAGTGCAGACTGGACTGACGCTCTAGTGACTCCAAGAACGATTCTGTCACGTAGGATCGAGGGAGTGCAATTTTCGCAATAGTTGCACGACTTTACCAGCACATGAATTGACGATAAGAATTTTTCGATCGGCTCGTCTGGTCCTTGGCTGGGGATTTTGAGCACATAACGCTCGAAGGTCTCGTTTACCGCCCCAACAGCGTACGCATCGAACTGGGCAAAAATCTTGGCCACGGTACAATTACTCTCCGGCGTAGAAAACTCAAAACCGTTGAAGATTTTCAGCGCGTCGTCGTCAATCAAGCTAAGAAACATAGCTACCTGAAAAACATCTGGGCGGTTGGTCAAATAGTTGTGGATGATGTGGTTAAGTCATTGTTGTTTAAACAGCCTCCAGTTGTCAGCACTGTTTCCTGTTACGCAGAAACGAAATTTGGCTGGGGGTGGCAGACTGTTTCCGGCGCATGCACCCCACTACTGCTGCCGCTAGAGTGACTACTACTACTGCTGCTGCCGCTAGAGGAGCCAGCAGAACTGCTGTCACTAGAGGAGCCAGCAGAACTGCTCCTGATAGAGGAGCCAGCAGAACTGCTCCTGATAGAGGAGCCAGCAGAACTGCTGTCACTAGAGGACTCAGCAGAACTGCTGTCACTAGAGGAGCCAGCAGAACTGCTGCCACTAGAGGAGCCAGCCGAACTGCTGCTGATAGAGGAGCCAGCAGAACTGCTGCCGATAGAGGAGCCAGCAGAACTGCTGTCACTAGAGGAGCCAGCAGAACTGCTGCTGATAGAGGAGCCAGCAGAACTGCTGCTGATAGAGGAGCCAGCAGAACTGCTGTCACTAGAGGAGTCAGCAGAACTGCTGCCACTAGAGGAGCCAGCAGAACTGCTGCCACTAGAGGAGCCAGCCGAACTGCTGCTGATAGAGGAGCCAGCAGAACTGCTGCCGATAGAGGAGCCAGCAGAACTGCTGCCGCTAGAGGAGCCAGCAGAACTGCTGTCACTAGAGGAGCCAGCAGAACTGCTGCTGATAGAGGAGCCAGCAGAACTGCTGCTGATAGAGGAGCCAGCAGAACTGCTGCTGATAGAGGAGCCAGCAGAACTGCTGTCACTAGCGGAGTCAGCAGAACTGCTGCCACTAGAGGAGCCAGCAGAACTGCTGCCACTAGAGGAGCCAGCCGAACTGCTGCTGATAGAGGAGCCAGCAGAACTGCTGCCGATAGAGGAGCCAGCAGAAATGCTGTCACTAGAGGAGTCAGCAGAACTGCTGTCACTAGAGGAGCCAGCAGAACTGCTGCTGATAGAGGAGCCAGCAGAACTGCTGCCGATAGAGAAGCCAGCAGAACTGCTGCCGCTAGAGGAGCCAGCAGAACTGCTGCTGACAGAGGAGCCAGCAGAACTGCTGCTGATAGAGGAGCCAGTTGAACTGCTGCCGCTAGAGGAGCCAGCAGAACTGCTGCCGATAGAGGAGCCAGCAGAACTGCTGCCGATAGAGGAGCCAGCAGAACTGCTGCCGCTAGAGAAGCCAGCAGAACTGCTGCCGATAGAGGAGCCAGCAGAACTGCTACCGATAGAGGAGCCAGCAGAACTGCTGCCGCTATAGGAGCCAGCAGAACTGCTGCCGCTAGAGTGACTTCTACTACTACTGCCGCCGCTGCTGCCGCTAGAGGTGGGCGCAGGGGCTCAACTGTTCGAGCTAGACATTGTTGACTGGCGCACCTCCGCGGAAATAAATAGAATGTTCAACTGCATGAACACACAATGTAGCTACGGAAATACTAACTTGCTAGAGCGGAGTTCGGTATCCAGCTGCCACCATGTTACGTGACCAGTCTTATCTATAACCAACAATGCTACAATGCTACAGCCGTGTGACTGGCACAATAGCAGGGAGTGGTAAGAACTGTCTCAGAAGGGAGCAAAGGCAAAACCAATTGCCAGAGGTGTAAAGAGCAGACAGCCTAGCGAAAGTCTGAAACGCCAGCAAAAAGCCAAAACCCAATCCACGCATGTCGTCACCTGCACATGCATGGGGACACATAATAACAAATGTGTACGTGAACGCAGTACACGTGACACTAGGCATGTTCAGAACACATAAATTATGGTGACAATGGCTTGCTGTGGTGCTGGGTAAGTGATCACTCTGCTCTCCTGGTGGCAGTGGTAGAGAATTTGTTGTTATAGGTACTTTGTCTGTTGAGGTTGTCATAATATCTGGACTCCGTTATGCGTACACTACTGTACACTTATGACTGTATGCGTTGCATGCTGTATGTACGAATACTACAGATGTAAGATCCCAGCAGATCAAAGCAATGGCAGATAGTGTGAGATATTGCGTACGATCACCAGACAGCCTCGTTCTCTAGCTCTTTCTCTCTCACTCTCTCTCTCTCTCTCTCTCTCTCTCTCTCTCTCTCTTCTCTCTCTCTCTCTCTCTCTCTCTCTCTCTCTCTCTCTCTCTCTCTCTCTCTCTTCTCTCTCTCTCTCTCTCTCTCTCTCTCTCTCTCTCTCTCTCTGCCTCTCTCTCTTTTGATCTTTCTTTCTCCATTCTTGATTATCGCCAACTCCTCTCTCGCATTTACCTGAGTTTACAGTCTTATTCTTGTGCTTTCTTGCTTCCCCACACTATCTCTTTTCGCCGTAAACTGGCTGAGTTGCTGGCGATCCGCCATGGCAACGCTCGTACCTTGATTTGCTGGCCGCATGCTTAACTGCTTTGTTCTTTGAGTTTTCTCCATCGAGACAAGAGAGAAATATTTTCTTACAATAATGAATCTTTGAGTCTGATTCTACTTGATCCGACTTATTAAAATGTGCGTTTCGCTTCGAACGTCAACCAAACAAATTCAAATAATCTCAGGACGGAATAAACTTTACAGCTACCTAAGGGGTCGTCGCAAAAGTTTTTTGTCGCCCCTGAAACGAACATGATTCATTTGGGGGGGGGGGGGGAGGGGGTGAGAGCCAAAATCGAAAGTCGACCGACACTTTACATATGACATGTACATGCATGCGATTTTCGTCGTCCAGCATAGTAAGCTGTGTTCGTTTCAGAGGGAGGGGAGGGGGTCCAAGTACGAAATGAACGATGTTCGTTTCAGGGACGACGGAAAACCTTTGCGACGACCCCTAACACTATCCTTCAGTTGTCAATTTGTGATGTTGAAGAAGAAATGGCTCCAACTCCAACGGAAGCAGCGGCTCGGTATCCTAGTCAACTCAAGAATTTTGCGTCCAAATTTTGTTGTCAGAGGACTCCTGTTGCTTCTCGCACAACACAGGGAAGGCCTGGTGCTGAAATCAACACCCCGCTGCGATGGGGGATTGTCACGAAGTACCAGAACCTCCTGGGCGATCGTTCTCGAGTGCCTCCTGGCGGATTGAAATCGCTGCAATCGCTGTTTCCTTGGCAGAATTTCAGCAAACGCGTCATCCATTTTCTTTCCCTTGTCATTTAATCACTGTCAATCACATACAAATACCGTCATAAAATATATAAACACAAGATTTTCTCATCTTTTTCTATTTCTTGTTTTTCATTAGCTTTAGCATGTTCATTCACATTCTTCATCATTTGTGAGAACTAGACCTGGTCTAGTGAGAAGGCATTCTACTGCCTGTAATTCTGGTGAAGTTAAATAAAGTAACAACAACAACAACAACATCCAGAAACTCGTGCAGAAAGCACCAGCATCGCTCCGTCCAGTTTGCTAATCTCTCTCGCAGTCGTTCACGATGTGGCGGCCGACGAATCAAGATCACAGAAGTGATCGTCGAGAAGTTGATCGAAATAAATAACCGGCCTTGAGGTCGACTTTCAAGCGACAACCTGGCTGGAAAACTGAAGCACAGAAAGGGTGAATTATCCGGGGGATACGGTGCGGAGTCCTCGGAGCCGCGATCCCGATGCGTCAAAAGATCGCCAGTCTCCAGGGCCAGTGGATTCGTGAAACAGGCAGCTCGCAGGGAAGAGCACGCATGGTCTGACTGCATGACATGTCGACACAGATCAGACTCATGATCAGTAGACCTACTCGCGCGGTACACGGTGGTCAGAAGTGATTTTTTATGCGTGGTGGTTTACTTGTTCGCCTAATTCGAAGGTGTTGTGGGAGCTTCAGGCGAAAACACCTACAGCCACCATTCTGGTAGTCGTACTGCACGAGGAGGAGGCGAAGTCGATCGTCTAAATCGTGCCTATGGAGTGAACAAATCAAAGAGGCGCAGTGTAGCTTGGAGGAGATGGAAAAAATGTCGACGTTTTGCAGGTTGACGCTCTTGCAGATGCGCCCTGAGACACCAGCAGCGATGAAAACTAGAAGGTCAGGCCAAGAAACGACACAGTAGTTATCTATCTACGGTCTCTTGGTTGTTTTTTTAGTACAGGTGCTCCTTTGTACACATGGTTGAGTTTTGAAGTGAAGCGCACATTTTAATGAGTCGGACCAAGTAGAAATTGTAAATTGGTCCTTCGAGCCTCTCAGACGATGGCTGACGCTGAAACTCGCCGAGGCGAAGGCGAAGGCAACCTTCACGAACCTTCGCCGCAGACTACTCGTCGCCATCAACGAACCAGATGTAGATAAAGACAAGATCAAGTACAGTCTTGTTTTACTTGAGAACGGCCTGAACGCTGTGATGGAGATCATCACTGAGTTATCCAGTGAATGTAGTAGTACCAGTCAGGACAATGTGTTGCTTGATAGTCTCTGCAACGATGCTGATGATCTGGAAAAGCAGTATACGGATGCTGTCACTCTTGCGAGTACAGTTTTGGCTAGCATGAGCCTTTACAATAGGACGTGCACCAGCGAGACGACTGGTGTACGGTACTCACGTAACCCTGATCGAGTATGAGAGCATTTGGAGTCTGTGTCTGCGGCGAGGACACTGCATACTGCACAGGATCAGTTGCAGTTACGAATGCAACAAGAATCTAAACACATGCAGAGTAGCACCACATGTAGTGTGAGTGACATGTCGACAGTGCGTCTTTGGGTGCACCTACAGCTGCTCTGTCCCGTAGATCTAGTATGCAGGGCCAGGCCATCCCGTCATACGAGTACCATGAGTACGTTGTTGACCAAGGTCCGCCCGACATACATGTCAACGGGGACCCATATATGCGGCGCTCCCAGAGGACCTCGAGGTCAAGCCTCCACGTGGGCTGATGGCCACAGCTACAGAGATCCTTTCGAATCCAAGTTCAACATCGCCGGCTCAACCGCCGAGCATGGAGTTTTCGAATTCCCTGACACAGCAGTCATATGCAGAGTTGTTGAGCTCTCTGGCTTCGCAGCAGCCGCCGTGCACTGCGTTTTTGAACACTCCGCCGCACGCGCAGCCGCCGTATACGGCATCTCCGAGCTCTCTGGCTTCGCAGCAGCCGGCGTGGACGAAGTTTTCGAACTCTCGGCCGCAGCCATCGTACACTGCGTTTTCAAGCTCTCCGGCTTCTCTGCAGCTCTAGAGCTCTGTGCCGCACCTGTCTTACTTGGCGCCATGACAGTCGTCAACGCAGGCCAGGCGGCAGCCGCTGTACACAGCGTTTTCAAGTAGTTCTGTGCAGCAGCCATCCTACTCGGCGCCACAGTAGTCGTCAACGCAGGTCACGCAGCAGCCTGTGTACACAGCGTTTTCCAGTAGTTCTCTGCAGCAGCCGCCGTGCTCAGTGCCACGACAATTGTCGACGCAGGCTACACAGCCGCAGCTGTACACAGCGTTTTCAAGTTCCGCACAGCAGCCGCCGCACGCAGCGCCGCAGCAGCCGCTGTACACAGCATTTTCAAGTTCTGCACAGAAGCTGCCGCATGCAGTGTCGTAGCAGCCGCCGCACGCAGCGCCATAGCAATCGTCGTACGCATTGTCGACGCCACACCAGACCCTTCTGACCATACAGTCAAAACCCGCTGTCATCGCAGTCAACGCGTTTAGCCGTTATGCCGCAATTGTCGCCACCTGCAATGACTCCCTCACCTGACAGTTACTCAGGTCAACGTCTATACAGCGCGGCACCATCTGATGTCTATCGCCGTTTGAAAAAGATAACCATCCCAACTTTCAGTGGCGACAAGAAGGCGTATGACACCTGGCGTACGGCATTCATGGTGTGCGTAGATCAACAGCCGATATCAGCCGAGTTGAAGCTCCTCCAACTCCACCAGTGCCTCACGGGCCCGTCACTCAAGAGCATTGAGGCATTTGGCTACTCAGCGTCCGTGTACTCAGCCGCAATAAGTCGCCTGGAGCACAAGTACGGTGGCCTCCGTTGTAAGACGGCCGTCCACATGACCGCACTCTCGGAGTTTACGCCCATCCGGGATTGGAGCACTGCCGCAGAGTTCGAACGGTTTGCTGACTTGCTGCAAGTCGCGATCATAAACCTGCAGGATGTTGGGCGACATGCTGAATTGGCTGCAGGGACATTCTGCACCCAATTGCAGCGGAAGTTGGGTCCGGAGTTGCTGACCAACTACAACAGATTGCGATGTAACACAGGTGCCGAAGAGTCCGTACCCCACCTACTGCAGTGGGTGCGGCGCGAAGCAGACTTCCCCACGCAGGCGACTGAGACGCATCGCTAACACAACACTGGGCTCCCGGTCACCGCCAACCGCCAAGCCTTCCAGTTTAGGACCAGCTACTGCGTCTGCACTAGTGTCATGGCCGCGCGTTGGCGGGTTTGTGACTTGGCTTAGATCAGTGTAGTGGCTAACCAGGTAGAATACCAATATAGTCGCCATCCAATTTAGCTAGCTCACGCAGAATGACAGGTTGCTAATTCCACTTGAACAGTGTTTATTGAACCATTGCAATGCTAAATCGAAAGAATCTAGCGTGAAGAGTCAAAGACCCAAAGCAGGAGAGAGTCAGAGGAGTAGTGAGCTCCCCGAGAGTGGAGGATGAATGCCAGCAAAACAGCTCCTTATATATGCTACATTATGTGATCAAAAGTAGGCAACAGCGAAAAGAACGCATAAGGATTATTTCTATATTTCAAACAGTGATGCAATCAGCCAAACTAGGATATAACATTAGTACAAAGATCAATACGGGGAGCCCACTCACTCAAATGTGAATACAGTGTTTTTCAAATGCTTGCATGTTCTTGGTCCGCGATCCGATGGCTGGGATGCATTGCAGCAGGCGGAAAGCGTAGCTGTGTCATTCTCGTTGTTTCACCCAATATGGGCTCTTCCCCCAAACATAACAGCAGATGGCAATGCCGTTTTCCCTCCAACCTGCCGGCGATCTAGAGTATTGGTTCTAACCGACCAATCTGCAGCGCCCTCTCTAGAGCAACTGCCTCGTCAGAGTAATTCAACACCCGTACGGGAACACCACTCACTGTAGGCCCCACTAGCGCATGCGCCATCATCACATCGTTCATCCCTTGAAATCACCCATCGGGTATCTTCAAGGCACAGGTCAGCAACCCTTCCGACTTGTCTAGCACGGCGTTAACCGTCACCTCTGAAAATGGAAGTATCACTTCACGACTCCGCAAGCGAAGAACGTGCTCTCATTTGCCATCACTATCATGGCTCGGCGGAACGATGTCAGCTTTAGAAGCATAAAATGCAGTGCTCCCCAACCCAAAGTGATCTCGCAAGGAATTGGGACAGCACATCGCGTCCAATGTCAGAACCAGTCAGCAGCATCATACTCAGTACGTGACGAAACACCACAGGGTGCGGACGTCGACAGTGGGGCTATATCTCAAGCTTTATTATGAGCTTGTAAAATGCACTTAAGCTGGGTTTTGCCCATTTTTGCGCTTCCCTAGCCAGTCAGGTGCTACGACCCAATCAGGCTACGAGCATCCAGAAGTCTTTGCAAAAATCCCAGCGTTCTACGATAAACTTTGAGGGAATTGTATTGCGATGAGTATTTCCCTCGCAATTAAGGAGGTTCACGACAGCAAGAGTACATAAACCAGAGTGTGCAACTGTGCATATCAGATCTGAAACAGCGCAGTTCGTACACTACGCCACCCTGATGAGGTCAGCCAAGCCGCGACTTGCGTACAGCTCAAATTTTCATGTTTCATAGCCCGGAAATCAGCCAAGTTTGCTTGATTTTAGACGCCCTGTTTCAGGATTTCGGTGTTTTGTGTGACTGTGTATGCTTCGTACATCCACCGACAAGTAAAGTCACCAGGCTATCAAGAAACCGAAATCAGGACAAACTCAGTGACCTGCACCACCGCGACTGGTTACGCAACTTTTCACCGTACCTGTGGCTTACCACGCCGTCAGAAATTACGCTCCCATAGGAACCATCCCGAGTTGCACACTCTGGTTTATGTACTCTTGGCGACAGTTATCGCCATTTTGGCCAAGACCGAAGGTTGTGAGTTCGAACCCCACTTTCGGGAACCTTTTTTTCTTTGTTTCTTTTCCAAATCAAGGTTTGTGGGTTCGAACCCCACTTTTGGCGACCTTTTTTTCTTTTTTCTTTCCCAAATCAAGGTTTGTGGTTTGAATCCCAATATGGGCAATTTTCTTTTTCTTTTAATTACGTTGATACTTATGCAGGGGCGTAGCGTAGCTCCTTTTAGTCTGCTTTGGACGGTCATGTGACGTGACATAGGGTACAAAATTCATCCTATTTATATTTTTGCAGCCAAGGATTTTTGCTCGGCCAGCTCCTTTTATTTTGAAGTTTCGCGGTAAACTGCACTCAGAAATGAGTGTGATGCAGCAGACTACATTGTATACCATGGTATACGTTGTACATGTACATCATTCCCTTTGATCTTGAACTACATGTACATGTACTATCGGCTGCTTCTTAAAAATGTTTTTCTGGAGGCTGCGACAGTTGGACTTGCAAACAAGCATGGCTTATTTTCCTCAAATAGCAGGGAGCAGCAAGTTGGAACAAAAACAGCACAGTGTAGTCACTTCACACCATGGAGCATTAAAACACCGGTACTTGCTGCTCCTTGCTTCACACTCAGCTCCTACCCCCCCCCCCCCCCGCCGCGCGCTCAGGTCACGCAGCTGTTGTACGGTTTCAAAGGTGCCGAAAATGTCTGCATGTACAATCCTGTTCAAGACTGATATACAGTATAGCGTGTAGAAAACATGTGTGATGAACCTATTCAGTACATGATTGTACAAGTACAGTGCACTCATTGAAACACGGATGAACGAGGTTACGTTTAATGCGGGCACTTTGTGATACTTTTTATCCTGCTTTTATTTGAGCGTTTTGCGAACATAGTGCGGCAAACTCTAGCTGCTTTGTTTGCGAGTTTTGCGATACGGCGTTACGCGCCTGCTCATGGAATCCAATTCACCACACCACCACATTGCGCTTTTGGTCGATCCAAACTCTGCACTCACATCACCATCACCACAGCGAGGACAATTCCGGTATAATATTATAGATTGATATTGACAATGACCCTACAGACAATTTGTCCCTATAAAGATCAGTCTATTCTTATTATTCTTTCATTGAACATCGTATGCCTCCACTGATGTGCTCGGGAGGAGCGAAACAGCTGTCTGGAGGGTCGTTGTCAAAATCAATCCATATACCGGAATTGTCCTCGCTGTGGTGATGGTGATGTGAGTGCAGGGTTTGGATCGGCCAAGAGCGCAATGTGGTGGTGTGGTGCATTGGATTCCATAATGGCCGGGTCGTCGCTACTTCTTCTCAACTACGTTGATACTTGCTTTTAAATCGCCTAGGAGGCATTACCAAAAAAGACAGAACTATCTGGGTTTTACCTTTTTCACAAATTAAATTGAGCCACTTTGCATGCCTGAACATACAGTATCAAAATATGACATTTTTAGTACATTAATTTTAATAGTAGTGTTTATTGTCTCAACGAATATGGGGACACCCTGTGTTTTATTTGGCAAACCTGTTCCTTTCCATGAAAGGATCCCATAAACCCATGTTCATAAAAATATTACGTTGGAAATCATGTGAGAAATTACTTTCTTTTCTCCTTTTTCAAGGAAAAGCGCAGCTTTGCATTTTGCAATTTTCGGTGGGGTGCTTAGTCCCAATGACATTTTCCTACTTTCTTTACAATCCAAACCGAGTCGGTTTGTATTTCCGAAAGTTTCAATGCAATGCTGCAAGAGATTATAAAGATAATACTTATAGTAGAAAATGTGCAACCACCCAGCAATGTCCGTAAAAATTAGGGGTGGAAAAGTGACTGAAGTTGACAAAACGGATATGGGGACCACCCTTTTTTATTTCAGAATTTAACACCTAAGGTACCTAAGACTCCAAGCAATCTGTTCACATCAAAATATCATGATTATGAAATTTTGCCTAAACTGTCCCAAACCTCCTTAACATGACCCTGGCGTGTAAGCTTGCTTCGCTCACTGTACTTTTACGTTGATGCCCGTCATGTCTACAGGAAGTGTATTCCTTAAGGATGGAGCCTTCCAGAAGGCTCAAGATTGTGAAAATCGACCTACAAGTTATTAGTGGAGTTATTAACTTATCGTGAGAGAAGAAGTATGTGCAAGAATGTCGATTTCGCATTCTCCGAGATCAGTTCTAGTCCTCAAAGATTGGGAAGAGAAAAGGTGGCCACGATGGCTCTCCTCATGGCATGAAGTTCCGCGCTGTGCGTGCCACCAATTTTGACAAGTGGACTGCTGAGAGCAACAAGGTTTCTGTGCGGTTTCCAAAGAAAATGTGTTGCGCAAAAGCTTCCCGGAGTCTTTTATCGTTGGGTCGAGAATTGAAAAAATGTTGGCTTTCAAAGACTTCTGTGGCAAAAATGGTATGTCCGTGAAGTGTCAGGACATTACGTCAGAACGACCATGATTTCTTATCACATGGCCTGGAACACCAAATGTGCACATGTTCTTCGTAACAAGCCGGGGGGGGGGGGGGCACAATTCAATAGAGGGCTATATATTTTTTCACGTGCTCTTAGAGACTGAGGTACTCTTCAACATAGAGCACTATTCAAGAGAGGGGTCTAATCGCGAAAGCACGGTAATCCTTCTTTTCTGCTCCTACACAACAAGCATGCACCAGGGATATCCTGACTTACCGAAGATTTCGCTTCCAATGGGTGTCCAGCATTAAGTAGATATTCTAGTACGGACACATGACCTTCCTTTGCTGCATAGTGGAGTGGTGTCCGACCATCCTGGAAGTAGCATCATTAATGAATACAAATCATGTACACACAAACACACACAAACACATACACATACATACATACACATGCACACATACACGCATATGCGTGCACATGCGTGTGCACACAATTTGAATGGGGGATTTCCCCATCATTCTGGGCATGCAGTGACGTAGAAACACGTTCAAAATGGTAAACGAACTCATGGAAGTTTGTGAATTCTTTTTGAAGTAACAGTTAGTTGTTACGAGCAAGGAGAGCGAAATGGCTGATGCAAGACGACTTCTGTCGGAATATTGGCGTTGCAGCTAAGACGCTGGGCTGTAGCGCTGGCGTTTTGACCTTCGTGGTGGCAAGCATGGGCTAAATGTGTTCCTCTTGCGACAAGCTTTCCAGGAAGCCCAAGATTGAAAAAATCGTCAAAAGGAGACTAAAGTTATGACCCAGATAATTATAGAATTTGAGGTGAGTCGAGATCAAACTCAGTCTGTGTACAATTTTTTCAGTACAAAAAGGGTTAAGTTGATTATGGGCTTTGAGCAGTGTCAGCTCCAGTGCCAGTTCAAGCAGGTCAGCGACCCTGTGGGGGGGGGGGGGGGGAGGCGGGTTACCCGTTTGAAAAAAGAATTATTAACGAGAGAGCTTGGAAGCCCAGGGCCCTACGCTATGCTTTTATGCCTAGTTCATCATGCATGTTATTAGAACTGATGGAAATGTTTTTTTCCATTGATTGGTTACATCATTGTATTGCAAAAACATTTCAATCGGTTTGAATATGAGTTAGGGGCCGTCCAAGGTTACCAATAATATTTTCAAAACGAAATGTTTTCGTTTATGGGTGGGTGGGTTTGATGGAGTTTCGTTTTGAAAATAATTATTGAATGCTGATGGAGAATGCCCAGTTACTTCTGGGTGTCGAAAATTGACATCAATATTTTATTGAAATTCGTTTTACCTGCAGAAAAGGTGGGTGGGTGGGTGGGGGCTGAAAATTACTAAAACCTTTCGTTTTGTAAAAACAATCGGTAACCCCGGACAGCCCCTTACGCAAAAATAATTGGAGAATTTATTGGTTTATATAAACTTTCTCTTTGCATTCGAGGGTAATACGACATCGTCTCCCCCTTGATGACAAAGAGATGTTATGTATTTTTCATTTCTCAAACTGAAGTATTTTTGAGAAGAGGTTTTGAGGCTGCCTGCGGTTTCATAGTAGTATTTTACACAATTGGGTGAACTCACCCATTCCACAATTCTCTGCAAATCTGAACCATTCCATTATAATACAACGTTTCGGCACTTGGCCAACGTCCGGTAATAACAATGAATACCATGGAAGCCACACAAGAGCAGTATATATAGGCATAATGGACGTACTAGGGCAGGCTGGCACCATTATACGCTTCAGGCTTCCAGCATTCTCGTACACGACTCTGACGGGTATTTTATATTTTCGTATGGCTTTGTTTACAGCATAATCCACTTGGTCAGATTTGTATGGTAATTTCAAGAAGGCACTGGATGGGTTTGTCCAACGCAGACGCTTTGGCTTGCTAGCTCGTGTGCGCGCCTTGTTGATGACAATGTCCGGATAGTGATTCGGTTTTAGTTGCTTGGTTATTAACAGTTAACACAAGCACTGGCTGGGACCTTCTATAATGCATATAGCATAATATTACACCATACTGTACATATACATGTACTAGTATACTACTTTCATTACCTGGGCTACCATCTGCACTTGCCTCTTTTTCACTTTTTGACCACACTGCTTCATCACACTTGACATACTTTGACTTTTTCTGCGACTTGGTGACCCGCCATCGGGGGCAAGTCGTCACTCTACACCTGTTTCCTATCACCCTGTCTCCCTGCTCCACACCTGACTCATACTCCCAGTCGACTAGTCATAGCTTGCTACTGCCCAGCGCCCTGCCGTCGGTGCAGGTGGCAAACTTCTCTCCCCCCCCCCCCACCCTCTGCATAGAGGTGCCATAACTCGCATCCCTTTTTTTGGCGCTACACTCTGCGTAACGCCATGGCACGCGCGCTCACTTCACAGAGCACAGTGCAATGGTGCGCTAGCCTCTGCTGCTTCTTCGCCGTGATGTGCTAGTTGCACCTTCTCTCTCTCTGTCCCCCCCCCTTCTGCGTACTAGGTGACATAATTCGCATCTTTTTTGGCGCTATACTCTGCGTATATATACTGCTCTTGTGTGGCTTCCACGGTATTCATTGTTATTACCTGACGATGGCCAAGTGCCGAAACGTTGTATTATAATGGAATTGTTCTTAGCAGTTCGGACAGCTCGTCCGGCTTCGCCGTTCGATTGGGGGTAGCGAGGACTGGAGGTTCGGTGACTGAAGTCGTACAAGTGGGCAAAGCTACGGAAGTCCGCACTTGCAAACTGGGGACCATTGTCACTCACAAGGCATGCTGGGATGCCATGGGTGGCGAAGAGACCATGCAGCTTGGAGACAATGCTGGCAGACGTCGTGGAACGCAGCGGGATGACGTCAAGAAATCGCGAGAAGTAGTCAACTACCAGGACGTACACTTTACTATTATGCTCCATCAGATCACAGCCATGGCAGCTGAGGGTGCGGAACCGGCTGAAGTGGCTCGCTGTGCTGGAGGCGGTGTTTACAGCAGACAGGACATGCTCCAACCAGTGCGTATACTTCTTTGGCAAGGCCTGGCCACCACACTGAGTTTCGCGCTAATGCCTTACACTTCATGGTTCCCTGGTGGCCTTCGTGTAGAGTGGCAAGGATCGAGGCACGCTGCTTGGGTGGAATGACGATCCTGGTGCAATGATACAGGACGCCATTGCTGCATGACAGTAGGGCACGTTCGTGAAAGAAAGGGCGGACTGCATCATCTACAAGATGGGCTGAGTCGGGCCACCCAGACTTCGTGTACTGCAGGACTTGCTGCAAGACGGTGTCTGCTGCAGTGTTGGCCGCAAGCTCTTCCGCTTTGCATGCCGAGTCGATTTCACTGGTGATCGTTGACATGAAGATCTCTTCCGCCAGCTGAGACGTTGGCGTGTCGACCGACGCGTCCGGAGCGCGTGATAGGGCGTCCGCTACAACAAGCTGCTTTCCGGGAATATACACAGCTGCGGGGTTGTACTTCATAAGACGCATGAGCAGTCGCTGGCAGCGCAGTTGTACACGGTTCAAGTCGCGCGTGTTGATCAGAGGTATCAATGGCTTGTGGTCAGTATGGACCGTCAATGACGGGTCGCCGTGCACAAAGCCATGGAACCGTTCACAGGCCCAAAACCACGGCGAGGCACTCCTTTTCAATTTGCGCATACTGCTGCTCAGTCGACGTCGTACGCAACTGGACGAAGACTGCCGTCGTGGTTCTGCAGCAAAACAGCGCCGAGACCATAGCTACTTGCATCTGGACTGATGACTGTCGGCCGTCTCGCATCAAAGAATGACAGGCAGGGGGTGTCGGTAGCGAGCAGTTTTAGCCGATCCAGCGCTGTTTGTTGCATTGCAGACCATTCCTAGACTGCGTCGTTGGCCAGCAGAAGACGAAGTGGAGCACTGACTTCTGACAGATTCGGGATGAACCGTGACATGAAGTTGAACATGCCAAGAAGCCGTCGCAGCTCCGTGACATTCTTTAGTGGCTTGAGGTCAGTAACAGCAGACACTCTCCGTGGACCCGGCCGCAGACCGTCTTTGGAGACAATGTGGCCCAGAAACTTCCCTCTTCCTTAAGTGACACTTGGGCTCATTGACGGTCACGTTGGCTTTCTTGAGGATGTCGAAAACAGCGATAGCGGCAGTTGCCAAAACCCATTAGCTGCGTCTAGTGTTGAGAACACCGTGGCATCAGCCAGCGAGGCAAGCGCGTCATCCAGTGTTGGCAGCTGGAAAGTTTCTCGTTCACGCATGCGTTGAGGCGCTTCAAATCAACGCAGATGCGCACTTTCCCATTGGGCTTTAACACTGGAACTATTGGTAAACACCAATCAGTCAGCTCATCCACCTTTGCAATAATGTCACCTTCTTCCATGTGTGCCAGTTCGTCGCGCACTTTGGAGTAGAGGTGGTGAGGCACTCTTCGGGCAGTCATGCAGTGGTAAGGTGTGGCTTCATACATGAGCTGGATGTTTACAGCTGGGCCCTTCATACACTGTACCAACTCAGGTTTGCTGTACTCAGATCCCAGGCGCTGGATCAAACCGAGATCAGAGCATGCTGACCGACTTAGGAGGCAAGTGGTAGCTCCTTCCAGGACATACACAGGAATGTCTGTGGATCTGTGGCGATGTGAGCAGTGTGCTGTGAAAACACCATGAACAAGTAAGAGATGATCAACAGGGCCACGTAGCTGAAAGGTGGAGGCAAAAAGGCTAGGTGTTGGCGACAGTCGTTTGAATGCCTTCAATGACATCGATGTAACATCCGCGCCGGTGTCCAGCTTGAATAGAACAGGGTGGTTTCCAACTCGCACATCAGCAAACCACGGTGAAGTAGGCCCACTTGACTCAGCAGAACCGATGAACCGATGAATACAGTTTCACTGTCACTGTCACGCACTGGTGCAGACTCTTAGACATCGGATACCTGGCGTTTGGACCAACAGACTTGTGCGAAGTGATTTCGCTTGCCGCACGCATTACACGATTTGCCGTGAGCTGGGCACTTACCCTGAGCATGAGCTCGGCCACAGTTCGAGCACTCCCCCGGGCGCCACTGTTGGGCTGCTGCTGTGTGGGTTGCTTACGTCCCGAGTCCCCAGGGCGGTGAGAGACGGCTGATGAGGAGACTGGCTTCGATACGGACGAAGCAGCTGCAGAGTGACCCTGAGCTGCAGCCTGGTCCTCAACTTTCTCCGCTTGCCGAGCATACGCGAGTGCCTTGGCAAGGGTCTGTTAGGATGCCTCCTTTATCTGGATCTCACGGCTGATGCGTTTCTTGCACATGTGCGCCACAAGACGGTCCCTGATCCGGTTTTCTTTCTCTCCGCCAAAGTCACAGAATTC